ACCCTATATCTAGTAATCTCCCGACAATTCCCGAAAGTTCGAGAGAAGGAGTGGCGTGATACTAGTCACATGACCTCGCTGACGCAACATAACCTTTGCGGCAGCGTTTGGTATACGTTAATTACAGTTATTGAAAGGATACTTGAAATTTCACACCAGGTGAAAATTTACAATTGAACACAATTTTTATCAATATGTAATATTAAATCGCACATTTTAGAATAAAATGACTTATTGCGCTTACTACTTGCATATTATCTACACAAAATATCATCGCGAACTTTACATATGAAGTATTCTTCTTCTAAATCCTCCTTTCTTCACCATAAAATATTTTTTTGTTCATTTAGTTCTTAATATTTGATAAATAAAATTAATCTGTTAAAACGTGCTGTTTGATCAGAAGCATTTCTTATAATGCCTATTATGCATCTTTACATCCTGTGGCTAAAATAGCTTTTTTTAAAAGAACAGAGATTTGTTGCTTTTAATTACATCCCAACATTAAACACTTGGTTAGAGGGAAAATTGAAGTTCTGCCTTAAATGTGGTTGGATACTTCAAATGGAACTGTCAGTATCCTTTCATGCAACAGTAGGTACAAATTTATATGTAGCACATTCTCCATTTACCAGGAAGGAGAGGAGAAATGTCAGCATCTGTTGATGTCTTGGTGGAAGGTGCGACATGACACATATTTCCACACAGACGCAGTTTAATAGCCCATTCTTCAAAAAATTATAAAATCCCAAAGGTCTTTCCCAGCCTTGAGAAACTGTAAATGTTATTCCTGTGCTCTCTACCAGCTAACGTTCTTTATAAGTATATTTAGTTATTTTCATTTTAATATTTATTATTTTATTTCATACACATTATAGTTAAATTTATCTGAATATATATAGTTTAATTATTTATTTTATATTTAGGTTATCCATTATAAGTCTGTTTTATTTACTTAGTTTCAGTATAGTTTCATTTTAAAGTGTCAATTGTTCTTAACTATTGTGTGATGTGAGAAGGCGGGATGGCTTAAATAAAGACCACTTGTTTGTGTTCATCAGACTTGTTTTTTTCTCTTTTTCTCACAGAACGTTCCACTCATCAAATTTTTAAAATTTTACTGTATGAATGTTTTTACATGTATGCTAAATAATCATTAAACAAAATACCAAAGATTACACTATCAAGAACATTTTGATGCTCATGAATAAGATTTGGTATGGGTCAAAATGGAATGGTAAGTGACAAAAGGGCCGAACATGCTTACTTACGCGTAGTCCTTAAGTAGCTGTGTTTTGTTTGCGAAAAAATGTTATATAGCAATCAAGGGTGAAAAATGCTCAACATAGTACATGCAAATCTGCCCACGTGCCAATGTTCTGGCAACACTGCCAATTGATGATGGAGAACTAGGGCTATTTCCACTGCAACTCAGAATGCAGTCGGTACGTGAAGACCAGTCATATGTCTAAGATTAACATCATCTGATGAAAAAATTGGCTAAGATATATATGTGCCATAGATAATGAACACACCTCAATCAAATTGGAATAGCAGTCTTCAATAATTAAGCTATTACAACATAACTGGACTTTTGTGCGACCCCTATTTCTGCTAAGAAAGCATTTTGCAGTGGTATTTCTGTTGTATTTTGAGTTAAATGTAAGGGTGAACAGAAGTAGATGGAACATGTCCGACAACTAACTAGCAGAGCAGTTAAGGCTTTATCTGAGTCAGCAATTAAGAGTTATTGAATGAGCTATTGTTAGAGCAGGTCACCGTGTTATATATTGTATCTGAAACGATTTGCAACCCTTATTTTTCAAACACTCAGTTGAAATTTCATGGGCAACAAAACTGGTACAGTGACCAGATAAATTACAATGGAAAGTACTAGTTACACTCTATTATCTTATGTTTATTTTATTGTGGTATTGACGGTAATTAGCTTCTTGACGCGCAGAAGACAGTAACTAAAACAGCTACATTTATTGGTCATTTGATAAGATATTATGTATATGTTGTTGTTTCCTCTTGTGTCAATCTGTGTGAATTCTGATATGTTTTGTGGTGGACAACGCAATTATTATCATCTAGATTGTGGGAATTGCAGTGGAAAACTTTGGATCCTCTTTTGTTATATATTGTGTTTTCTTATTTGTAGATGGCACTACAGTAGCAGATAGTGTGGTTACAGATATTTACAATCCTAGATAATTGTGAACATTATTTAGTGTCATTACGTATGTTATTGATTGGTCAGTTCTTGTATGAAGGTTATATGCATAAATTAAATGATGTTGGTGGATTACGATATACATATCTTACATCACACGTATATTCATTCATAATTGTTAGTTGCACTATACACACAAATATATAAAATGAAATTAAAATCATCAGAGTATATAGATATATAAAACTACTGTTCTACATCTCTTCGTATATAGATACATAAAACTACTGTTCTACATCTCTTCGTATATAGATATATAAAACTACTGTTCTACCTCTCTTCGTATATAGATATATAAAACTACTGTTCTACATCTCTTCGTATATAGATATATAAAACTACTGTTCTACCTCTCTTCGTATATATATATATATATAATAAAACTACTGTTCTACATCTCTTCGTATATAGATATATTTGATTTTATTTGTTTTATTATTTATTTGTTTTTAATTATGCACAAAGCTACACAAGGGCTATCTGTGCTCTCGCCCCCCCCCCCACGGGTATCGAAACCCGGTTTAGGTAGAACAGCAGTTTTATATATCTATATATGACCCCCAGTGGCACAGCGGTATGTCTGCGGACTTAGAACGCTAGAGTTTTATATATCTATATACGAAGAGAGGTAGAACAGTAGTTTTATATATCTATATACGAAGAGATGTAGAACAGCAGTTTTATATATCTATATACGAAGAGAGGCTGTTCTACATCTCTTCATATATAGATATAAAAACTACTGTTCTACCTCTCTTCGTATATAGATATATAAAACTGCTGTTCTACATCTCTTCATATATAGATA